GTGACCAACTTGTTTATGGTACGTGCAATATGGAAGCCTAGAATGATTAGATTGATGAGGGGGCCGAGAGAATTGTCTAGGAGGTGATGATCTAGGGGCGGACCAACAGTCCCTTGCAAGGTGGTTACTCTTACCACAATGCCAACATGAGGGAGTGGATGGTTGTGGACTATGGCGTTTCGGCATTTTATGAGGCGGCGAATTTGACTGGGGGCTACGAGCATGGGTACGCTTCTGCGACCAAGAGTTTTGAGAATTTGTGGGAGGATGCTGAGAACTTGTAACTACATTTACAGCATCAGAGGGTGGCAACAGTTGAGCACTTCGGGGAGCTAGTTTATCAGCGGCATTGTTAATAGCCTCAAACACTTCACCAATTTCATGTTTAACACCAAAATTTTGTTGCTCAACGATTGGTTTTGTATGCTCGGGGGCAAAATGCATTAAAGTACCAAATGCTATCATTTTGGCCATAGCCTCAGGGGACAGATTATTGTCTTTATCTAACCAAGTTGAATTATTCATAGCAGAAACTAAGGCATACAGATACTGATCGAGACGGCTAGTAAACGCATTAAACGATTCACCAGGCTGCATGGTGGCATTGGCAATTTTCTTGACTAACCTATATGGGTCAAGGTCTCCTTTATTAACAAAGCGACGGCGAAAGAAATCCTTAAATTCAGGCCAAGACTGGAGGCTAACAATGGCTTTCTCATCAACAACAAAACGTGCATCACCTTTGGTTGTGTCCACGGCTGACCGTGCAATTGCTAAGTATTCGGCATCAGTAGGCTTAGAAAAACGTGCAACTGTTTTCGCTTCAACCTTACTAAACCATGATTCTAATAAACGCGATTCCCCAGCAAAAAGAGGAATAGCCATTTCCTGAGCTGATCTCTGGCCATTGGGACGAGCAACTGTTCCCATTGATTCTGAAGGGGTTTCAACAGTGGTAGGCATTGTCACAGCCGTGGAAGTAATATTTGAACGCAGATTATAATTAAGTGCACCTGGCATCAGAAATAGTATACACAAAATAAACACAAAAAAATATCAACTTGGCTAAAGTAAAAATGGCAGAAATAAAATTATTAAATTGGGCTAGGCAAGAAAATAATTAAGAACAAGCAAATTGTAAACTAAATTTAGCAATCTTTCATTAAAAAAATGACTGGAATTAGATGTATGTAAATTAATTAAACCAGACTAAGCACAGCAATTTAGAATAAAAACTGGGAAATGCAATTGCAAAATTTCATTAAAAAGATTCAACACAACAAGTGGCAATGCAAGAAATATGGATGTAGCACATAAACTGGACACAGGAATGTATATAACTGCTAGAAACAATTATTTCTTACTTCTCTCACCTTTGAATTCAGTAATGACACTAGTAACAATTAATGAATAATGGAATCATATGCAGGGAATATTGAAATGTCTCAGAGAAACTGTGGGCCTCTGGAGTACTAAACCGGCTCCAATATTTAACAAGTCACTGAATGGTTAATTCACAGGATATTATGGGAATTATTACATAAGTCACTTTTTAACACTTGGCACGTTGTTCTCAACTAGCAATTACTTATCTCAGGGTTGTAATTTATGAGGATCACCAGTAGCCAAAGTAGGAGAAGCGTCGTGAAGATCGGAAGAGGCCCATGTGAGGCGTGTTTACAAACTGGATGCGACGGCAGCGCTCCTGGCGGCGGTGGCGTGAGACTCAGGGACCCCACACTGTTCACGCTAGAAGCACGAAGATAAATTCTGACGACGACAATATTGCGACGATGGAATAACCAGTTGATACTTGCGACGATGGCTGACGACGATTGCAGTAGCTTGCACCCTCACGAAGCTTGATACTGTCAGCTTGGGTGGCGGTGGTGGTGGGTGCACTAGGTGGTTCCCACGTGGTGGCGCGAGGTTCAAAAATGGCTGGCGCGGGAAGCTTCCTTCCTCCTCACTGATGAGTGAGCGTTCTCACAGGAAAATATTGACCCTTACTTCTAAAACGTTAGCCTGGAGTAGTGGTTGATGGCAGGACCCCGGTCTGGCACAATATTTGATGCGTGGGTGGCAGGATGGCGGCTTATGGCGGTGGCGGTGGCGGCGGTTTTGGCTGGAACACGAGGCGATGCTGGGTACTGGAACTTTTGCTTCCAGAAAAAAATTTCTGGATCCCACTGCTGCTACCAGTATTCGTTTGCCTTGTTCGGGTTGAATGTAGACACAGTAGTCGCTTCTGTATATATTTATTGAGTGAGGCAAACAGGTGTATAACTGGCCAGCCGAGGTCCACCTACTCTGGGTCTGTGAGGATAACTGAGGCTGCTGGGAGCATGCCTGATGCTCCTCTGTCTGGCATGACGTCAGAGGCCTACTTGCCTGTGATTGGTTACATTTCAACTGACAGAATTTGAGTATAACATGGGGTGCACAATAAACTACCGCTCACAGGACGAGTATGGGGTGCATATATACAAATATATACAGAAGCGACTACTGAGTCTACATTCTACCCGAACAAGGCAAACGAATAGAACTCCCTCCATATAACACAGAACTACCTTCATATAACACAGAACTACCTTCATATAACACAGAACTCCCTCCATATAACTGAACTCCCTCCATATAACACAGAACTCCCTCCATATAACACAGAACTACCTTCATATAACACTATAACTATAGTGCCAGTTCTGAACGTAGACAGGAGTATATAGGACTCATTTTCTCCTCCGTTTCTCACGTTCTCTAACCACTCATTTTCTCTCACATGTCATTTTCTCTCCTTCTCTTTCCAAACTTCTAGCTCCAATTACTTCCTTCACTCGCCCTTTCTCTCTCTCTCTTCCCTTTCACTTCATATTCACGTTAATCAGGATACAAAAACTAGCTGTCCGTAGTGGTTCTTAACCGGCTTTCACAAGTGTGGGGTGGGAACGTTCGGGGAGGGAAGGCAACGTTTGGGTAAGAAAGGGAACGTTTGCCTTCGTTTGTTTACGTCTGGACCACGTGTGTGTGTGTTTATGTCTGGACCACGTGTGTGTGTTTACGTCTGGACCACGTGTGTGTGTTTACACCTGGCGCACGTGTTCGTATGTTTACACCTGGCCCACGTGTGTGTATGTTTACACCTGGACCACGTGTGTGTATGTTTACACCTGGACCACGTGTGTGTGTGTTTACACCTGGACCACGTGTGTGTGTGTTTACACCTGGACCACGTGTTCGTATGTTTACACCTGGACCACGTGTGTGTGTTTACACCTGGCCCACGTGTTCGTATGTTTACACCTGGCCCACGTGTTCGTATGTTTACACCTGGACCACGTGTTCGTATGTTTACACCTGGACCTCGTGTTCGTATGTTTACACCTGGACCACGTGTTCGTATGTTTACACCTGGACCACGTGTTCGTATGTTTACACCTGGACCTCGTGTTCGTATGTTTACACCTGGATCACGTGTTCGTATGTTTACACCTGGACCACGTGTTCGTATGTTTACACCTGGACCACGTGTTCGTATGTTTACACCTGGACCACGTGTTCGTATGGGCACTGACTGATTACAAAAGTCATACAAAGGGATCGAACTCACACTTGTGGCCTCCCCAAGCACACGCACTACCCACTGAACCACGATGAGTAAAATGAACATGTACATTGATTGAATATATATACATTGATTGTACATGTGAGTTGATTGTACATATCTGCTGGTAATAAATGTGATCATCAACGATAAATTGTCCATGCGTGTGTATTAACCAAAAAAAAAAGAGTACTTAAGTGTATTGACCACGTGTATATATATATATTAACCACAGAAGTATATTGGCAACGAAGGTATATTGATTACCGTGATCTATATTATCGATTATGTGTGTAGGTTTACTACTGAGGTATATTGACCACGGGGGTATATTGACCAAGGGGTAATACTGACCACTTGGGTATATTGACCACTGAGGTATATTGACCACGTGTTTATATTAAGTACGGAAGTATATTGACCATGGGGGGTATATTGACCATATATGTACATTGCCCACGGAGGTATATTGAGCACGGGTATATTGACCATGGGCAGTGTTATGTTTGTAGGTTATTGTGATGGTTGTAGCTAGGGCACTGTAATGTTGTTTGGGCATTGTGGTGTTATTAAGGCACTGTGAGGTTATTAAGGCACTGTGAGGTTATTAAGGCACTGTGGTGTTATTAAGGCACTGTGAGGTTATTAAGGCACTGTGGTGTTATTAAGGCACTGTGAGGTTATTAAGGCACTGTGAGGTTATTAAGGCACTGTGAGGTTATTAAGGCACCGTGAGGTTATTAAGGCACTGTGGTGTTATTAAGGCACTGTGAGGTTATTAAGGCACTGTGAGGTTATTAAGGCACTGTGGTGTTATTAAGGCACTGTGAGGTTATTAAGGCACTGTGGTGTTATTAAGGCACTGTGAGGTTATTAAGGCACTGTGGTGTTATTAAGGCACTGTGAGGTTATTAAGGCACTGTGGTGTTATTAAGGCACTGTGAGGTTATTAAGGCACTGTGAGGTTATTAAGGCACTGTGGTGTTATTAAGGCACTGTGAGGTTATTAAGGCACTGTGGTGTTATTAAGGCACTGTGAGGTTATTAAGGCACTGTGGTGTTATTAAGGCACTGTGAGGTTATTAAGGCACTGTGGTGTTATTAAGGCACTGTGAGGTTATTAAGGCACTGTGGTGTTATTAAGGCACTGTGAGGTTATTAAGGCACTGTGGTGTTATTAAGGCACTGTGAGGTTATTAAGGCACTGTGGTGTTATTAAGGCACTGTGAGGTTATTAAGGCACTGTGGTGTTATTAAGGCACTGTGAGGTTATTAAGGCACTGTGGTGTTATTAAGGCACTGTGAGGTTACTTAGGTACTGTGACGTATCTTGAGCACTATGGTGTTATTAGGGTACTGTGAGGTGTGAGCAGTGAGACAGCTCTGGGCTTACCTTCATCTTGGGGAGTGTGACGCCAAGAGGGAAGCAGCACGATGGGGGCGTCCGTCCTCACTCTGAACTCCTTGTTTCGTATTCCTTCGTGAGGTACCTCCTTGAGGGACCGCCTTGAGGGAACGTCGTAAGCTGCAGTCGTATGGTACCACCTTGAGGCACCGTCGTAAGGTGCGGTCACTGTGTACTTCCGGTTGGCACTCGTAAATGTTCTCTCCAACTGTTCTTGGAGGAGTTCTATACGGAGGAGACGTTGTCCGGCCGACCGCCAGAGAGTCACTGGAGCGGTCGGGGACCTGGCGCGGGTCTTCAACGCCGATGGTGGCAATGAAAAGCCTATACTCCTTTCTTTTTTCCCGTTTTTTGTTTCTCCTTTGGCTCTATCTCGGCCTTAAACCGTTTTGTGTTCCAGATTACAAGAGCATGATTCTCGCTTTTGTTATCTACTTCGAATTATTTTCAGCATTTTTTTTTACAACTTTTACTTTTTAAATTTGTGTTTCGTGGCGGTATCCAATTCGGTGGATACTAGGGGTTGAGAAATGGAGTTTGGAAGGCGCCGGATAGCCTCATATACGCGCTGGCGGGGCTGTAGGCAAGAGTGAAGGTGAGTGGTGGAAGTAGCAGGAGTGGGCAATGGGCAACGCTCTCTCTTTCTCCCGCCAAGAACACCCCGCCCCCGGCCTCAGTGCTGCCACCTGCACACTCTTTCTCCCAACTACGCGCCCGCTGAACTTCCTTTGCTGGGTCGCTATACTCGACCTTGCTTTGTTATAACGGGCTGTATGGTTCCTTGGTGTTTGTGACGGGGTTGTTGGAGAAGGTGTTCGGTGGTACGTGTTATCCGGGGGAACAGGAAGCCTCTTAGAATGATTGAAATCCTTCCCTTTGACAGACTCTAGCTAGGAGCCTACCCACAAGAGATGACTGACTACTAATCCCTATTTACTGCTTAGTGAACAGATGTATCAGGTGTAAGGTGCCAAATGTCTCACTCTGTCCGGGAATCGAACGAAGGACCAATCACTTGAGAGACTACTGCACTAACTAACCTGGGCGCCTGACAGCTGGGTGGACAGCGCTTCGGGTTCGTAGTCCTGAGGTTCCGGGTTCGATCCCTGGTGGAGGCGGAGACAAATGGGCAAAATTTTTCTTTCACCCTGATTCCCCCTGTTACCTAGCAGTAAATAGGTACCTGGGAGTTAGCTGCTACGGGCTGCTTCCCGGGGGTGGAGGCCTGGTCGAGGACCGGGCCGCGGGGACGCTAAGCCCCGAAATCATCTCAAGATAACCACTGCCTTACAGTAGCCAATAGACAATACGATCTATCGCCTCGCTTTCCACAGATAGATTTTGCTCTCCGTGGTCCATCTATCCTACGAAAAATAGTCTTAAATAAAAATGATATATTTGACGAGTCACGTGACTTTCCTGTCAACAGCTGTGAAAGACTTTGTTTACACAAGTCTTTGTGTAAACAAGTTTGTTTACACAAGTAACACGGTATATATATATATATATGAGAAAAGGTTCAAGGCGCGCGTCTGGGACGAAAGGGAGACGATAGTTCAATCCCACAGTCCTGCTCAAATGATTTCTTCACTGTCTGTCTGGCACACAATAACCAGGTGTGTGTGTGTGTGGTGTGTGTGTGTGTGTGTGTGTGTGTGTGTGTGTGTGTGTGTGTGTGTGTGTGTGTGTGTGTGTGTGTGTGTGTGTGTGTGTGTGGTGTGTGTGTGTGTGTGTGTGTGTGTGTGTGTGTGTGTGTGTGTGTGTGTGTGTGTGTGGGACTAGGGTCACAGATGGTCCAAGGTCACAGGTGATGACCTTCCCAATTCGCTGTAACCTTAATGACCCAACGATCCTTGACGTATCCACAAGATCTATAACATCTAGGAAAACACCTTTCCCGGTAGAAGTAGATGACATGTTAACTGAGGAGTGTCTACCCGGGGGGGGTGGGGGGAGAGATAAGGAACAAGGGAGAGAAAACTTTGTGCATAGTTGTCTCACTCTTGGAGGCGGGAGTGAGAGAAGAGAGAGAGAGAGAGAGAGAGAGAGAGAGAGAGAGAGAGAGAGAGAGAGAGAGAGAGGGAGAGGGAGAGGGAGAGAGAGAGGTGAACCCTTACATCCTAAGCGCACCCTTCTTGCCCTGTCTGAAACCTACATCACTACATCTTGTAAATATAAAATTCTCTTTATTCCCAAACTCCTTTCTGGAAGGCTGCGAAAAGCTACAAAATCCCTTAACCACATATTGCAGGTTTATCTTTCACTTTCACTGCTTGTTTTTCTAATTCAATCTTGCTCTACTGTCCCCACAAAAACATCGTTCGAGTATTTCCTTATTATTTAATAAGAGTCATCGGCTGGAGGGCAGATGACGAGGCTGATCTCTGATACCCCAAAAAAATATGCAATCCAGAGTGGTCTGGACATTAAAAAGGAAAGGTGTGTGCGTGTGTGTGTGCGTGTGTGTGTGCGTGTGTGTGTGTGCGTGTGTGTGTGTGTGTGTGTGTACTCACCTATTTGTGCTTGCGGGGTTGAGCTTTGGCTCTTTGGTCCCGCCTCTCAACAGATCAATCAACTGGTGTACAGGTTCCTGAGCCTACTGGGCTCTATCATATCTACATTTAAAACTGTGTATGGAGTCAGCCTCCACCACATCACTGCCTAATGCATTCCATCCGTTAACTTATCTGACACTGAAAAAGTTCCTTCTAACGTCCCTGTGGCTCATGTGGGTACTCAGTTTCCACCTGTGTCCCCTTGTTCGCGTCCCGTCAGTGTTGAATAGTTTTTCCTTGTTTACCCGGTCGATTCCCCTTAGGATTTTGTAGGTTGTGATCATGTTCCCCCTTACTCTTCTGTCTTCCAGTGTCGTAAGGTGCATTTCCCGCAGCCTTTCCTCATAACTCATGCCTCTTATTTCTGGGATAAGTCTAGTAGCATACCTTTGGACTTTTTCCAGCTTCGTCTTGCGCTTGACAAGGTCCGGGCTCCATGCTGGGGCCGCATACTCCAGGATTGGTCTTACATATGTGGTGTACAAGATTCTGAATGATTCCTTACACAGGTTCCTGAACGCTGTTCTGATGTTAGCCAGCCTCGCATATGCCGCAGACGTTATTCTTTTAATATGGGCTTCAGGAGACAGGTTTGGTGTGATATCAACTCCAAGATCTTTCTCTCTGCCTGTTTCATTAAGTACTTCATCTATTCTGTATCCTGTGTCTGGCCTCCTGTTTCCACTGCCTAGTTTCATTACTTTGCATTTACTCGGGTTGAACTTCAACAGCCATTTGTTGGACCATTCACTCAGTCTGTCTAGGTCATCTTGTAGCCTCCTACTATCATCCTCTGTTTCAATCCTCCTCATAATTTTTGCATCATCGGCAAACATTGAGAGAAACGAATCTATTCCCTCTGGGAGATCATTTACATATACCAGAAACAGTATAGGTCCAAGGACTGACCCCTGCGGGACTCCACTTGTAACGTCTCGCAAATCTGAGACCTCACCTCTCACACAGACTCGTTGTCTCCTGTTGCTTAGGTACTCCTTTATCCAGTGGAGTACCTTCCCTTTCACTCCAGCCTGCATCTCCAGTTTATTCACTAGCCTCTTGTATGGTACTGTATCAAAGGCTTTCTGACAATCCAAAAATATGCAGTCTGCCCACCCTTCTCTTTCTTGCCTTATTTTTGTTGCCTGGTCGTAGAATTCAAGTAACCCTGTGAGGCAGGACCTGCCATCCCTGAACCCATGTTGATGCTGTGTTACAAAGTTCCTTCGCTCCAGATGTTCCACTAGCTTTCTTCGCACAATCTTCTCCATCAGCTTGCATGGTATGTAGGTTAGGGACACTGGCCTGTAGTTCAGTGCCTCCTGTCTATCCCCTTTCTTGTATATCGGGACTACGTTAGCTGCTTTCCAAATATCTGGCAGTTCCCCTGTTGCCAGTGATTTGTTATACACTATGGAGAGTGGTAGGCACAGTTCTTTTGCTCCTTCCTTTAGTATCCAAGGGAAGATTCCATCTGGGCCTATAGCCTTTGTCACATCCAACTCTAGTAAACACTTCCTTACTTCCCCACTGGTAATCTCAAACTCTTCCAGTGGTTCCTGGTTAGCTATTCCCTCTCTTATCTCTGGAATTTCTCCTTGCTCTATGGTGAAGACCTCCTGGAATTTCTTATTCGGTTCCTCACACACTTCCTTGTCGTTTGTAGTGAATCCTTCCGCCCCTATCCTTAATTTCATAACCTGTTCCTTTACTGTTGTTTTTCTCCTGATGTGGCTATGCAACAATTTAGGCTGAGTCTTTGCTTTGCTTGCGATGCCATTTTCGTATTGTCTTTCTGCCTCTCTTCTCATCCTGACATATTCATTCCTGGCATTCTGGTATCTTTCTCTGGTCTCCTGTGTCCTGTTATTCCTATAGTTGCTCCATGCCCTTTTACTTTGCTGCTTAGCTAGCCTACATCTCTGATTAAACCATGGGTTTCTCATCTTCATTTCTCTGTTTTCCTTTTGGACTGGAACAAACTTGTTTGCTGCTTCCTTGCACTTCTGTGTGATGTAGTCCATCATATCTTGGGCCGTCTTTCCTCTGAGCTCTGTTTCCCATGCTATATCTGTTAGGAATTTTCTTATCCCCTCATAGTTTCCCTTTCGGTATGCTAACCTTTTAATTTCGGTATTCGAGTTCAATAACCCTTCTTCAATCAGGTACTCAAACACCAGTACACTGTGGTCGCTCATTCCTACTGGGTCCTCAAACCCGATTTCTCTTATGTCAGAGTCGTTCAGGGTGAAGACCAGGTCGAGTCTCGCTGGTTCGTCATTTCCTCTCATCCTTTTGGGTTCTCTGACATGCCGGGTTAAAAAGTTTCTAGTCACCACCTCCAGTAGTTTGGCTCTCCACGTATCCTCGCCTCCATGTGGCTCCTTGTTCTCCCAGTCAATCTTTCCATGATTGAAGTCGCCCATGATGAGCAGGTGGGATCTATTTCTACAGGCAGCAGAGGCTGCGCTCTCAATTATAGTGTTAACTGCCATGTTGTTGTTTTCATACTCTTGACTGGGTCTTCTGTCATTTGGTGGAGGGTTGTATATTACTGCTACTACTATTCTTGGTCCTTCCATTGTCATGGTCCCTGCTATGTAGTCTCTGAAACCCCTCACAGCCCGGGATAGCCATCTCCTTAAAACTCCATTCCTTTCTCATTCCATGAGTAGGGCCACTCCACCTCCTCCCC